AATTAAATTTTACAACAAATATAAAAATAAGAAATAGTACATCACATATTTTGCATCATTTTACTAAGTTCTTCCATGTCAACATGATGTTCTATGTTTCCGGCATTGGTTGAATCGGATCTATAAACCATTATATCTCCAATTTCTTGGTCCTCCTCTTCGTCTACCTCGGCACGCCCTTGATTTCGCCGTTCTGATCTTATCCAATCTCTGAAGCACACTAGAATTTCTAAAGCGTTGCTGCCCATGAATGACGGGTATCTCCTAGCTGCTGCCTTGCTTGGCTAAATGCGCTCTCTGATGCGACTGTTGAAATCGTCACATTTAGCACGTCTCGAGCCATGGCCGAAAGAACAGGAAATTGATTTGAGTTGCTCTTCCACCAACCCAGCAGTTGAAAATCCTTTGTGAGGGGCTCTGGTGACTTTTGCAAGTAGAATTGTAGTTCATCAATATTCCTGCTACTGGTTTGTTGATGCTCTCCTAGTGTAGATCAAATCTGATAATCTTGAACAGAATCATCATCATACACTGTTGTTCCAGATGTTGAAGGAATATTTGCATCTACAACCGAAGAAGCATCAACAATGTTAGCATAATAATTATATAAAGTTTGTAAATGTGTGTGTAGCTCAGAAACACAAGTGCCAATATCAGGAGTTTCAGTTAGTCCAATATCCATATAAGTGTATAAAGCTCTAATTAATTGGCGATACTTTATCATTTTGACAGTAGGGTTTAAAATAGCACCAATTAGGTAAATGTAGGAAATTGGGTAGAAATACTTTTTAAACTTATCTAGCATAGATTCAACAACAGTAGCATATCCTTCTTTCTGCTTCAAATTATGTAGTAAAAGAGAAATTTCAGCAATATGAACTAAACCATTTGAAATGGTGGATAATAAGCTCCAGAAAACTCAAGTGTAGCGACATAAAATTTTTGTAAAAATTGTAAAACATCATGAATGACATCCCAAGTTCTAGATGTTAACAAACGGTTAGGATCGGTACAATGAGAATTGGCAACTTCAGTTATAGGCATTCTATATTTATAACATCTTAAGAACAAATAAGTATAATTCCACCTAGTAACTATTTCTTCAGGCATGAGTCTTGGTTTTAGTCCATAGTGTACACATTTTTCCTTAAATGCATTTAATCTAGCACTTCTATTATTTCCTTGAATTACACCAACAACTCTCCTAACTAAAGTAATTTCATCTCTAAATAATTCAAGGCCACTCTTCACAATCAAGTTATAAATATGACATGCACATCTAACATGAAATATTTCAGGAAGTGGTGGGTGTAGATGCAATTTTAATATTATAATAGCAGCATTGTTGTTAGAAGCATTATCAAATGACATACACAAAACTTTTTCTGCAAGATTATAAAATATAGCAACTTCATGTATAGTGTTACTTATAAATGCACCAGTATGACTTTGATCTTCATCATATTTAAAAGCAATAATACGTTTTTGCATGCAAAAATTATCATCTATCCAATGGCATATAACAGTCAAATAATCATTTCCGTTTACAGCACGACCAATATCAGAAGTAAGAGAAACTTTACAAGGAAGACTTGCGAACAAATAACGTATATATATGTCTGATATTGTCCAAAAAGCCTAAAGATATCAGCTCTACAAGTACTTCTAGGAATGCCTTTAAACATAGAGTTATAAATTCTTTGAATATAAGTAACAAGATACGGTGAAGAAGAAAAACTAAAAGGTAAACAACCTAAAACAATCATTTTAGCTAATTCTTCCCGATCTTTCTTAATATCGTATTTCCCAAATAACCCCCCAGTACTCGGGTTAAGTCTTTGTTGCCCAAATGACTCATCTACTCCCCAATCAAGAGGGTGTTTCTCTTCCATATGCCTATGAAGTTGACCCGTTCCCCCTCCTTTACCTGGCTCATGTTTATAATGTTCACTACAAATTTTACATTTTACATAATTTTTTTGATCTTCTAGTCTTTCAAAAAACATCCAACACTTACTTCTTAATCGTCGATTCTTCTTAATAGGGAGAGGAGGCCTACTTGTTGCACCCCTAATATTTTGAGTTTGACTAGCATTACCAGGTGTAGGTGGTGGCGTTTCAAGATTATCGGGTGATTGAATTTCATCTAACATATCATCTAAATCATCATCTACACCATAATTTTCTTGCATTCGCTCATAATCTACATTTAAATTTTCAGGTGAACTTTCAGAAATATGTGTAAAGCTACTAGAAGAACCAACACCACCTCTTGTTCTTTTTGAAATTTTCTTACTACCTCTACTAGTGCATGCTTTTTTAGCCGCTCTAAGTAAATTCATTATATAAGTTAAACTATTAAAGTAAGAAATTAAAGTAAGAAACTAAATTAAGAAACTAAATTAATAATTCTAAATAATAAAATAAGTGTACACCAAATAAGAGAAAGAGATAGAACGAGTGTACCGGGATTCCTTATGCCGCACTAATTTTGAATTTTTGATATCAAAATTCAAACTTCAATTGATAGACCGAAACTTGATAGTTGATAATACTTGAATACTTGATACCACACTTCACTTGAATAATTGATATTTGATAATAATAATTTTGTAATGGCTAAACTAAATAATTGATGAAACTTGAAATAATAAATAATTGAGAATTAGAGATTTGAGAATTTAAGAACTATAATATCAAGAGAGAATTGAGACTTGAGAGAGAACTAGAGTAGTAAGAGAGTGAATTGTGAGAAAAAATGAAGAAGAAGGGGGGCTATTTATAGATTTTAAAAGGTTAAAAAAGTAATTTTGCAATTATTAGGGGTGGGAGGGCTATATTTTTAATGGGGGGCCGAAATTGGCCATTTTTGCAAAATGTGGCCGTTCCCCAATGGTCATTTCTCAATTTGACCGTTGGGAACAGTCCAATTAAATTAAAAAAAAAAATTCAACGATAACCGGGCTGCTAACGGACTGCAGCCCATGTTCAACCCGTTAAGAGATTTCGGGTTCAATGGGTTAGGTGCACCGTTAATCTAAACGTGAACGTCCACAACCCGCCCCCCTGAACAACCCGTCCCAGCCCGTCCAATAGTGAACAGTAGCGGGCTGAACCGGGCTGACCCGGGTTGAAGCGGGCTGAAAACGGATCAAGCCCAGCCCGATTAACAGGTTTAGTCCAGATTCCAGACTTATCCAAACATGCATATCTCAAAAGTCCGAAACCGCACATTTTTCTTTTCCTCCAAATAGCAAATAGTATATATTAATCATTGCTCTATATTGAGTTGAGTAGCCTCTAGCCCTCCTAATATCACAGCTCTACTATTATTTGGATTCTCAAGTCAAGAAAAATTAGCTTTGTGAATTTTTAGTACTTACTATCTTTTTGTAAAGTTCCTTTGTTACTAAAAATCTTTGAATTCTTCATTCTGCACGTGGTGCATAACAACCTAATACTTTTTTTGAATGCTGACATGACAGGGAAAGAGGCTTGCAGAGTATGTCTTTGATGATCGAATAAAGGAGAAAAATAAAACTTTAAGGGCCACCAAAAAGAAAAAAGCGGACATCATGCTCGGCGGCTAAAGGGAAAGAAATTGGAAAGGTGCTCAAGATTTATTATACTACCTCTGATGCTGAGGGCGATCGTTCTATTTTATTAGGATTGACTACCGATTCCGAAGGAACTGGAGTTACAACTCTTTTCCATTCAAGAGTTCTTATGCGTTTCCACGCCCCTTTGAGACCCCGAAAAATGGACAAATGCCTTTCCTTAGGAACACATACAAAATTCGTCACCACAAAAAGGATAATGGTACATAGAGGGGGAGGTCATAAGCGTCTATACCATAAAATCTATTTTCGACGGAATGAAAAAGACATATATAGTAGAATCGTAACCATAGAATACGACCCAAATCGAAATGCATACATTTATCTCATACACTATGGGATGGAATAATCTAGGAATAATATAGGATGAATCTCCCCGATGATTAGAAATAGAAAGAGTAATACGATTTTCAATACTTTGCTTATGTACAACTACAAAGTATCAAGCTATCGCGATTTGATGGTATTCTATTTTTGAAATATTTCGCTAGTCATGATACTAAACACACCTTTAAACCGAGATGAAAAAGAAGACCCGAAATTTTGTGAACAATGCGGTGTCGAATTTGTTGATTCTCGGATACGAAGGTATCAAATGGGCTACATCAAACTCGCATGCCCAGTAACCCATGTGTGGTATTTAAAACGTCTTCCTAGTTATATTGCGAATCTTTTAGATAAACCTATTAAAGAATTGGAAGGCCTAGTATACTGCGAAGTGTAACTTAGTGGTCAAGGGGGTTCAAAATCTTTGTAAGTTCATAGGTTCAATTCCCACTAGTTACAATCTTTCCTGAGCCGAGGGTCTATTGGAAACAGCATCTCTATCCTCATAAGGTAGGGGTAAGGTCTGCATACACACTATCCTCCCCAGACCCCACGATATGAGAACTGGGTATGTTGTTGTTGTTGTCTGTTCGTGGTGCATAATGTCAGCTCCTCACATATGACTCACAGGCGCATGAAAAAACTTAATCACATTTAATTTGCACAAAGCTTTATGACTTTACCTAGATTTATATATTAAATTGGGATCAAAATACAAATTAACTAACTATGATCAAGTGATAAAAATGTGCATAGAAGACATATAATGTATTCATTCATCATTTGGTATAAACATCATGCGTAAGTAAAATTTATATTGACTTGCAATCCCTTTAAATTCCATCCAACAATACCACTATATATGTATGTGCATGGATAATCGACAACTTGGTAACAAATGAGAATACACTATGCATCCAAAATTGTATCTTCACAAAATGAAAGAAAAAAGAATAATTAGTGAAAACAATGAAAAATAGCATTTACACTTCTTTGATTAAGTAGTGTGTATATATATATATATATATATATATATATATATATATATATATATATCATCAGCGCGTTAGATGTAAATAGATGCAGAACACTTGTTGGAGAAAGTTCCCGTGATATTCATTGGAAGAGATATCTGCAAACGCCCAACGAAAGTGTTAACGTTATGAACCGTTTATAATACCAACTTAATGTGGAGTTTAAGTAATTAATATACATTGTAGTAAAAAGAAATTACATACATCAATTAAGTTAGAACTAAAGGGTAAATGATCTTAGGATAGTCATCCATACCGTACTATATTTTGCTGCTTTCACGCTGTTGACAACTTGGTTACTGAGTTTAATATTGTTTTGGTCAATATTTATGGCGCACTCCACGGCCAACTTCAAAAATCGCATGAAGATTTACAATAAGTTAGTACAAGAATGTAGCATCCATATATACCGTGATAGTGTGGAAAAAAAAATACTATCAGATCATCTAAAATATACGTAACTATTTATAACTGTCCGTAAAAAATGAAATTAGTAAATTAAAATTAAGAAGGAACTAACTCCACAAATGAAATTTTCCTCTGAAAAAGTAACAAACCTTCACTTTGGGAAAGTTGACATATTTGAGAAGTTTCACCTGCGTTGAAACATCACCAAATATGTTTGCCAACGTAACACTTTTTGTTGAACTCTTCTGTTGCAGTGAAATGTTAGACAAAATTTGAGTAACGTTCACGCAATAAAATATTACTCTAGCCTCCAATGTTAAGTTATTACTACGAGGAGGTTGATAAAATGCAGGAACTTGAATCATTCCAATAACTACTCCTTCATTAAACACATGAAATCGCGTCGACGTATACCTTATGCCAACTTTATTAGGATTTTGCGCAATCAGTATCAGAGAGATGACCGATGAAAATAGGAGGTCGTCGGAGCCTGAATTATTTAAAACGTCAAGCTTGTAAGATTGCACTTTTAACGTTTGGATTGAGAAAACGGGCTTTTGGGGCTTCAAGCTTAAGAAAATTATGGAAGGAACTACCACTACTACAAGGGTTATCAAGAAAATGAAGGAAAAAAGAAATAAACAACATTTTTTGAAGGAAAAAGTCTGACAATAATATTCTTGAAAACGTGAACGATTAAAAGCTGGTATAGGTGAAATATCCATGACAAGAAATGAAGCACATAATTTTTGGTATGGTTTAGTTAAATGGGGTTTAGTAATTTGTCTTAATAAATTTAGTGAAGTCTTTAGATGGAAGGAGGAATGTGATGTTTTTCTTTGTATCAATGTCTTACTGATCCTATTCCTTTCTTGAACTTAGAAAAATACGTTCTTCTCTTCGTTTCTGTGTTGCTTTTTCTGGACTTTCTTAAAGGGGAACAGTACGCAACTACTTATTTTTCCGCCACCTTTGCTAAGGCCTAAGAGGTAAGGCAAGGGGCTGGGCCAGGCAGCCAGAGTGAGAAACAATTGAATTGGGCTTAGGTTGGGCTCTCGTATAGAAATTTATGCAAATAATTGGCGAGAAAATGACACTGTATAGCCGTTGTAAAAATAATTGTCGAAAAATCTATAAAGTTTGTATAATTTTTGTATATATATTTTATACACTTCTTTGGCTCCAAAATATATACAATTTCTAGCGCGGGCTAAAAGTGATAATATCCCAACATTGACATTTTACCAAGGCCACTATTGAATTTTGTTCTCTGTTAGTTTAATGAGTATTTTGAAAAAAAAAAAAAAAAAAAAGATTAACACGGACAACCTTGAAAGTGGACACGACACCAGATAGTCACTTTTAAGTATCGTGTTTAAAATATATTCACTAATGATTAGCTAATTCACTCAAACTTCATGACACGACGTCCAAAAGTCTAAACTTCAAACTTCAAAACATTGTGTCCCCAAATTCGAAATTTGTGTCTAGAAATTCGAATCCTGTGTCCCGAATTTCTAATTAGCACTTTAGAAATTCAAGACACTTATAGCCTGTTTGGCCAAGCTTCTTTTGAGGCAAAAGCATTTTTTTTTTGTCAAAAGTATTTTTTCTAAAATTACGGTGTTTGGCCAAGCTTTTGAAAGAAAAAAAGTGTGAGAAGCAAAAGTTGTTTTGAAGAAGCAGAAAAAAGTAGCTTCTATCCAAAAGCACTTTTTTTTAAAATCACTCTTGAGAAAAATACACTTAGAAGCAGTTTTTTAAAGCTTGGCCAAACGGGCTAATAGTCCTAAATTTTAAATTAGGATCTCAAAAATTCAAGATACTTAGTCCTGAAATTATGGTGAATTGACTATTTTTAAATAAATTATAAATTATAAATATATTTTAAATAACATACTTAAAAATGATTATTGGTGCACTTCAATAATGTTGTAACAAAATTAAAAGCCATACTGTGCAAATAATAGGTGTTCCATTATTTGTTTTTAGCATTGTAGTTATTTACCCTAAAAATCGAGTAACAATTAAACTTGTAATGTGATTTTGAGGATACGTGATTTCACTTAATATTAATTGGTTAATTTAGAGATAAGTGATGAAATTGATAAGAATGTAGAACAAACCGACATTTGGACTGTATCCTCGAGCTTGATGAACCCTCGAGAGTAAAGCGAGAACATTAAAGAACAAAAGTTGAAGAACAATAATTAAAGAGCAGTGAGCTGACGAGCAGAAGAAAGAAATATTATATTGCCTTGATCTGTATGAATGTGAGAGAGCCTACAAATGATGGGGACCCCTCTTTATATACTAGAGGAATCCTAATTGAGGTACAATTCTAATTATAGAAGTAAATCCCATGATTCATGCAAATAACCGCGCTTGATTTGATCCATTCCGAGATTTCCGCCGTGATCTACGATCGGTTGTGGATATTTTGCCTTTCCGTTATTGTGTTCTGCTCGAAGCTGGTCATATCCGGTCTCGACCGTCGAGGACCTCGATCTCGACGGGTTCCTCGATCCCTGAACTCGGCACCTTGTCTGATCCATTACGAGGCTGACCCTCGATACAGTTCTCTAGCCTCGAAATAACGACAAAATCAGGTAAGCCCGATTTTACCCGTATATAGATAGCCCCTCGTTTCTTAGAGAGTAATGAAACGAAACGAACTAAGTCTTTGATTTCATACATCGACCAATCATGACATCATCCTCAATACGTAAGCGACGGAGGCGACCGAAGCGTCGCGTCTGTACAGTTCTCAAAATCATTAATTAGCGTCAGTTGATGGTCGGCCACTGATTCCCTTGAACCGTCATTGCAATATTATAAATAGACCCTCCTCATAATTTTTTCAAAGTTTACTTTCAAAACTTTTCTTAACCTTCAAAGCTTTCCTACTTTCTTCAAGTTTCTCAATTCTGCAAATTCTTCGAAATCCGTTTGTCAATCCTTTCCCAAAACAACAAGCCTCATCTTCTTCTTCTATGAACTCATATAAAAATGGCGAAAACATCTCAAAAAATATGCCTCAAAAGGAACAAGCCTCTTCTTCGCGGCCGACCGGCGGTAAAACGTCGGTGGAGCCACGCATTAAGGAGTGCATTCCTGGGTCGTGCGACCTTACTTTCGATTTTAAAGTTGAGAAAACCTTGTCGGTCCTGGCCGATGTGAGCCCATGTCGAGGTATATAGGCTCGATAACAGAGGGCAATCTCGAGCAGGTGAAAGAGGACTGCCATTGGGAAAACGTAGAGGTGGTGATTCCTACCGCTGAGGAGGATATTACTACTCACGTGAAAGGGTTTTTAAGTGTTTACACTAACCCTTTCACGCTGGGTCCCGTCGAACCAGTGATCGTCGACTTCTTCCGCCAATACCAAATAACCCTAGCAAAATCCACCCTTCTTTTTGGCGCATAGTGATTTTGTTCCAATTTCATGTGAGCAAGGTCGAGGGGATGTCTTTCACCCTCGACCGTCTCATCGGATTGTACAGCCCTCGTCTCTATCGAGGCGGATTAATAAGGCTTCAGTGCCGGGCCGCTAAGGTGTTGTTCTCGAGTACAGACGAGCACATGGATCGGGGATGGATGAGTCGATTTGTCCAAGTGAGGACCTCCGACATAATCTCGGCCGATAAAATGCCATTCCCCGAAGAATGGAACATGAAGCGTAAGTAGAATTTACTCATAGTTTTTATTTGTTGTTTTGTTTCTTTTGCTTTTTCTTCATCCACATCTCTTCTTATGGTGTAGCAGTTCCCTAGGTGCGTGGTGCAATCCCGGACCTCAAAGGCTGGGTTCGGAAGCTGGCCTCGACCTCTTGATACTCTAAGCGCTGCTGGCGTAATTTGGCAAGGGGCCGATGGGAGGCCAAGAATCACAGTAAAGTTATCTTATACGCTGTTGGTGCCCTTTTTCAAAGCGTCTCTTTTCACTTGTACCTAATCTCCTTTTATGCAGGTCTCTGGGATGTTGCTGAAATGAGGCCGGCCCCGCCTGGGGAAGAGGAGGCCCCGAAATCGTCTAATGATAATAAGAGAAAAAGGGTTTTGATCTCCGAGACTTCGAAACCAAAGAAGAGTAAGACTCGCAAGCCGAAGAACGACGTCGTTGCCATGTTCGAGGATGCAGTTCTACGGCTACGAGATGAAGAAGAAGAGGAACATGAAGATGGAGACTTCAGGTTGGTGGCTCGACAAAAGAGTGCCGAGGTCCCAAAGGCCGCTAAGCCGGCTATGATCGAAGAAGTTCAGCCTCGAGCTGAGGAGGGTTTGGAAGATGCCCCTAGCGGAGTCCCTGAGTCAGCGGGGGCTGATGTTGCCTCCCATTAAGATGCGTAATTGGCGGACGTATCCGAAGGGGCCAGTTTCGAGGCCCTTCTAAATGAAGGAAATACCCCAAGTGACTTGCTTGGGGCAATAGAGATAGGTGATTCGCCGCTCCTCCCCTCATTCTCCGAGGGGAAGATTGAGGAAGCTCGAGCCATGGGGACCCTCGATGCGGGAATGGCCCACGGAGGGGGGGACCTTTTTCGTGGCTGCTTCACGGGGGTCGAAGATGTTCTCGATTTGGATGCATCTAGCATCTTTGACGAGGCTCACCGACTTCTAAGTTAGGTAAGTCTTTAGTTCCTTTTATCAATATCATTTTTGTCTTCTTGTTTTTCTCTTGTCTGACTTTACTTTCTTTTTTCATAGGCCTTGACGCTTCACCGGGAAGCATTTTCTAAATCCCGAGCTGAGTTGGACCGGTGTGAGGCCAATCTCAAGAAACTCGCGGAGGAGAGGGATGCCCTTAAGCGCCTCTATGTGCAGAAAGAAGAGGAGATCAGGGACCTCCGAGCTGAATTGGCAGCGGCCCATAAAAAGTAGACCGATCTTATCGAGCAAGTAATGTAAATTTTCAGGAGCTTGATATATCAATTTGATATAGGTGACTAACACTTAGATCCTGCGGTTCACCAGAAGGCCGAAAAAATTAAGCAGCTTCGCGAGGAGGCAGAGATAAAAGAGGCAAAAACTTTGGGGTGGAAGTAGGACATGGACCGCCTCGCCTTAGAGAAGGATATAGCTCGAGCCCAGCTGTCTTTGGTTAAGTGTCAACTCCAAAGTGTAAAGGAGGAGAGCTTGGCTCGAGCGAATAAAATTGAGGAGCTCGAGGCTCGGTTGGCCGCTGAGCTTGCAAAGGCCACATCAGAGGCGGAGAAAGTAAAGGCCGAAGTGGAGGCGGTCGTGGCCGTCTATCCAGCCGATGCTGAAGCCTCTAAAGCTCGAGCAAAAGACATTTTCGATGTTGCTGAGGTTCAATTATTTCGTGCTGCTGAGCATGCTAAATGTCAGTCTCGGAGAGAGACTCTCGTGGAGGTTCATGCTCGCGGCTTTGACCTCATAGCCGACATCGAGAGCGCGAAAGTGCTGGAAGTCAAGGCCGAAGTTTTTCTCTCTGATGATGATGACTCTAGCGGTGTGAGCGAATCTGAGAGCGGAGAAGATGAAGCTCCCGGGGAAGATTAGGCATTTAGAATTCATTCCTTATTTTTGGGATTTTTGTGTAAGACCTTTATCGGTCCCTTGTACATATTTTTGTCCATATATATACAAAGAAATTTCTTTTTTGAATGCCTTCTCAAATTTTGTCTTCAATCATGTTTCGTGCCTTGTAAAATTTTAGCACATTTTTATGCTTAAAACAATATGTTCGAGACGTTGGTTTTAAATGACTTGATCGAAGCCATAATAATACTGCT